CCTTATGGTGTACAACACTGATAATGAAAAAAAAAACGCGCTCTTTAATTGAAGGTTGTTATAAGTTTTGTGGAAATAAAATGAAAGCGTCAAAAATCATGTAAATATTACTTACATGATATTTAGATCATTTTTACATCAAATTTAAAGTTTTAAAGGAGCGCGATTATATCCAGTGCAACTAAATTAATTTTACTTGTATTGCATACCTTATCTAAGTTTTCTTTTCTCTTACCATTGTTAATTTTAACTTGTTTGATCCAATGGTGTTTTTTCCTTTTTCCAGATTCCATCGAATCAATGCGACTGAGATGGATGACGGTAAGTTTGTTCAAAACTGCGTGCTCTGGCTCTTAGGTAGCCTCCTTTGCAGCCGGGCTTACTGTCATTTCCTTTACTTTTCGGGGAGGAAATTTGACGAAACAGGAAGCTGAGGCTGTTAGAGAGACTAGCTCTTAGGTCTCTCAGGAAATAGTTGAATCATTTGTCAGTTGTGTTCGCGTTGTTGTTTTTTTCTAGGAAAGATAACAAAAGAAGAGTTTSAGACTATGAATACCCTTGCTTTGGACAAAATGATGGCTGTATTCGCATTAGCCCACCCCAAGCATAGACATCGGTACAGCGAACAGACGTGGATTAACCAACGAACCAGAAAACACGATCCAGTACTTAACGCGATATTGGAAAGGTATTGACAAAAGACGATAAAACTCACACTCGATATCTAGCAAATCGCTGTTTTCAATTAGCTATTAAGACAAAAGACCCGCTGACACATTTGTGATGTCAACAATAGATACCATGAAAAATCATTTGTCAAAAAGTGACGTCACCAGCATRGCAACAATGACGTCACCAACATGTCCGACTTGACGTCACATGACCACAATGACGTCACCATCATGGCCGACGTGACGTCACTAACATGTTCACAATGACGTCACCAACATGACCACAATGACGTCACCAACATGATGACATCGCTTTCTTGCTTCAGGGTTTTAAAGCTGACTGGTTTAAGCAAAGAAATTATATACGGCAGCGAAAGGCTTCAGGTAGGTTGGACCTTTRCTTTACGTATGGACTGGAAAACAGAGTGTAACGTAACGCAACATAACGTTTGCGAAAGTAAATTGAAAACAGTAATGATAATCGCAAGGTTTGACATTTCTCCCGTAAACTGTACATGTACTACGCAATTCATACGAGTCTTGTGGTTACATTTTGTTTTGTTGTAGGTTGTGAAATATACCAAGAATGGTCACTACCATGCCCACTACGACTCTGAGACCCACACCAGGRGAGATGTACCTTGCTGTCACCTTCTTGACGATATCGAAAAGCTCCTCTCCTTGAAAAACCCTTGTCGATTGTGCAGGTATGTTATGCTCTTGATAACATGATAGACACACAGCCTTATGGATAGACAGAGCGATAGATAGATAGCCTGTCTGACTTACAACCATCTMACATCATCTAGGTACATCACAATTCTTTACTATCTCAATGACGTCGAATCTGGAGGAGAAACGGCGTTTCCAGTAGCTGACAACGCAACATTGAACAGAAAGGTACGTAGGATATAGAAACGTAAATCGTACGTTTTTGTGCTTGAAATGGAATGAGCTCACAAATCATTGTAATTGTCAAAACCAGGGTAGTATTGAAAATGGTTAGAAGCATTGCGCATAAACTCTAAACCATAACGGATATCATAATGCTTTTTCATTAGAAAATTTCCTTAGTAATACTTTTATATTTGTACAGTTTATGGAGGAATCGCGCGCTGAATATGACTACTTCAACCTCAATGAAAACTGCAAGCATAGCAACTTGGTTGTTAAACCCAAGAAAGGCATGGCTATCATGTGGTACAACCATCATCAAGACACAGAAAGCGGATGGCTTGGCGCAATGGATGACTACAGTTTACACGGAGGATGCTCACTTCACCGTGGAATTAAATGGATCGCAAATAATTGGATCACAGCTCCGTACAAGGAACATAGAAACATCTCTAGTTTATTTCTGACTTCTCAGGAATAAACGAGTGAAGGAAGATCAACGTTAATTCTCGTTGAGAGATCCGTATATTCTTCTTCTTATTCAGGCCTATCGTTACGTAAAGCTTATCGTTACGTAAAGCCTATCGTTACGTAAAATCTATCGTTACGTAAAGTTATCGTTACGCAAAGTCTATCGTTACGTAAAGCAGCCTTTAACGATGAGCGTGTCCATATAAATGTCACCTTCTTTTTATCATATAATTATATATAAAAGAAAATAATATTTTAAACAATATATCTACATGCACGAAACACTAGTGAAAATAACAAGCTTTCTAAAGAGAGAAATTGAGGATGCTACATGGTTGCGCGGATTTTTTCTTCGCGCGAGTGTTGAAAATATCTCACACGAGTGAGCGAAGTGTACACATAACATTTATAGTATGGTAAGGCCAATAGAAGACCCACGACTACCCAAGAACCTTTGCGCGATTTCCTCGTCTTTAATTGTGAACCTATCAGAAAGAACTTTGAAAGAACATGACATTATTTCTAAAACAAAAAGGTCGCAAAGGTTATTGGATGCAYTTGGGCATTTAAGAGGATCACATTTTAAGCAAACGGCTGTGTTTATTTTGGAATGGAATTGTGGGCTCATTACAGGGAATTATGGGTCACGCAAGCAAAAAGCCTTATTTTATCTTCCGTTTGTCTACTTCTAGTCCTTCTTGTTTTAATATAGAGCTCCTGACTTGCTCGCTCGCAGTAAAATCGCGAGGTGCGTCAGCATTCATCTTGCGGCGTTGGCCACTGAGTATTAAACTCTTCCACAAAACCATTATTAAAAAAAATAGCACCTTTCGCTAAATCAGTTTTTTTATGTGCTGTCTGACAGAATGACAAACAGAAATCAATTTTGCGTCAACGTTATGTATCATCATGATCGTCCAAGAACGTGCAAACCCTCACGGTTACTCCCCTGATTTTCAAGATAAAATTACTTAATAATTCATRAAGGCTTTGAAACTACCAAATCCTGTTTGGTTTCGAGGCCGGTTAACAATAATATGCCCAGATATAAAATCTATCTGATTGTCTTTTTTACTATCMTTCGTGGTTCACTTCCTGACAGTAATTCATGCTCCTCGAAGCAAAAAAGCCGCCATAGTTCTGAAAATGTCCAAGGAAATCAAGACGACGATTTAGATAGCGTCGATGGACCATGTAGGATAGGACACACAACTCCCTTAACACGAATAGATGGAGTCAAGGTTTGTAGATAACAATGTGCACCAAGAATGACACCAGAAATGACAACTGAATCGTTCGTAGCTTTTTCAAAGCTAGACTATTTTAAAAYTGCCCTGTTTTGGCGATGTAAGGCTGTGTTTATAGTGTGTAAAATTCTACGCTTTGTACTCGCTACTTATTTATATATGATATACAAATCAAGCAAAACTTTCTTTCCCGTAATAMTTTCACTTTGCTTGCTTGMAAAATCAATATTCATTCTTTTCAAGCGAGAAAAATAATGTGCATTCAGCGTTTTTWATGTTATTGATGTACACRGTGACTTTCCTCGAATCACAGYACGCAGGTCTTGTAATAATTGAAAACAAYAATAATGACTTGCTATCAACAAGTTATAACACAATCACTCTTTCACTTCTCTCGTCATAACACACACATACAAGGTATATATCTTATATTAGAGATTTAATTCTAAAAGATAATTTAGAATAGAAGTATGTTTGTCTCAGGTGGGACACGTATTTCAGCGAGATTTGGGGGATAAAATCGTTAATGTTGTCACTCGAGCAATGAAGCCACCYGTYTTTGGTGAGTACCACACGTGGAGCACTGCTTGTGACGTTTGACCTTCCTTTTAAAAAGAGAAGGACTAGGCGCCATTCGAAAAGGAATGTTGCAGGTTTTTATATTTAATGGAATCGGCTATACCACGTTTTTTAAAATCACTTCTAAGTGGTGATTGACAGAATAAAGCTTCAGTTTTTTACCAGTATATTCCTTGCATTGTTATTATTATCATCATCATCAACACAATCATCATTATTATCACCATCATCATTATTATCATCATCATCATCATCATTATCATCATCATTATCATCATCATCATCATCATCATCATCATCATCATCACCATTATCATTATCATCATCATATTCATCATCATCATTATTATTATTATCATTATCATTGTTGTTATGGTTGTATATGATTTATATTGTAACTCTTTTCCCAGAGATTCCAAACTTCCTATCAGACAGAGAATGCGATTATATCATARCGCTTGCCGAACAACAGAAACTCCAAAACAGCCTTGCGCGAGGAGGTTTAACCAAGTCAGATGAAATCGCTATCCCTGAAGTACAAAGTGAGGGAAAAACTAGGTTTCTTTACGCGATATGCGCGGTGAAATGATCTGTTACTACCTAATAAACACTGTTGTAAAACTCATGAATAAYTAATGAGTGAAACACGATAGAAATCACAACCGTGAAGAGTGTTGTAATATTTGATACAAAATTGTCTTGATTTGCATAAACTTCAAATCTAATTTTCTCAGCCAAATTCAATTTTATCTTTAAGTTTTTAGTAGATTATGAATGTATACACCTAAACGTTTCACAAGTAATTTACAACATTCGCGTCCGTGTTGTATGGGCTTTACAATCTCTCGACTTCGGCTCGAGATTGTAAAATCCCATACAACACGKCCGCTCATGTTGTAAACATTACTTACAATTTTCCAATTTCAGGTGGTACGTCAAGTGGTCCAATAGGCAGGTTTTACGAGTGGGATTTTAATCATGATGGAATCATAACTTCTGAGGAGGTTCGTTTGTTGTGTCAACATGTTTTCGTTTTGTTTTGCAGTTTTAAAGTTGTGTTTTCGTGGTATTATCATGTCTCTRATTGGCGTTTTAGATTTATCTACATTCAAAAGAAAACCGATGATATCGGAATCGGCTATGCCTCGTGTTTTTTTAATTTACTTSTCAGTGCTGATTAACAGAATATAGCCTCTTTTGTACCAGTATACATGCATAAGTACTTTCGGAGAACAATGCGTCCGCCATCTTGAAAAGTGAGAACGGAATCACTATGTTGTGCCTTAGAACACATTTCGTAGCAGTTAAGTCAACTATATTTATCATTATATCGTATAATAATGATTGACATTAGCTGAGAAGTTTTTAAATCCYTTGGGAGTTATAATTTAGTGATTAGAAAAGTGGGAAGGTCCCACTTTTCAAGATGGCGGACGCATTATTCTCCGAAAGTACGGCATGTATATATTCCTTGTATTGTTATATATCATCGCTATCATCAGCAATATTATTATTATCATTATTAATATCTAGTACTATTTCTATTTTTAGGCTATTCAGCTTGCTAAGGAGCAGCAGTATCTACGCTTAAATAACGATGACCTCTTAGAGCTGTAAGCCACACATTAATAACTACAGTAAAACAACCTTTATATATCTACATTAGACCGCACAGGACTACCCTGCAGTCAATCTCAAGAACGTAGTCACATCACTTAGATTTTGTTTTTCTTCGTTTTTTTTTGTTTCACTTCGTTACTATTTCTACATTACGTAGAATAGTAGTGTGTGGGACATATTGATCTTTTTCACCCATTCCCATGAGATTCAAAAGATAAAAGACCTTCGGCCATGTTGGATGAATGAAAAATAGATACTAATGAAAAATCCTATGTCGAAGTTCATCCAAGATGGCCGCTGTGACGAATAATGCAAGATTTCTTATTTTCTCTTACCATTATTCATCATCCAATCTTTTTTGCTCTTTTTCCAGATTCCATAAAGTCAATGCGACCGAAATGGACGACGGTTAGTCGGTTATAGCCTCCTTTTCAAAGATTGCGGTTCTCTTTATTTCTCGTATCTTGGATTTCTCTTTGCTATGAAATGGTATTAACTGTCCTGTGGTCTTTTTTATCTAGGAAAGATAACAATAGAAGAGTTTCAGACTATGAATACACTTGCTTTAGAAATAATGATGTATACATTCGCATTATCGCACCCCAAGCATAGACATCGATTCAGCGAACAGACGTGGATTGACCAAAGAGCCAGAAAACACGATCCACTACTGAACGGAATAGTGGAAAGGTATTGAAACCAGCGCAGGAGAAACCTTCATTGATMTTTAAYACATTATGCTATTTTCTCGGCAACTTGGCTCGCACTAAAGACGCTACGAAACAAAAATGGAAAACTGCACAGCGTCCAAAGGGCTGTCTCAATTTCTTCCGTTTTTGTATGTATATATTTCGGCATACTTTTCAGATATACTTAGGTGGAATACTCGGGTATACTTTCCGCAACGTATCTCAGCACATTTTCAACGCCAAGTGCATCACCCCTCCATAAAGCTTGCCTCAAAACTTTATGAGCGCATGACGCAGTATCGCGACACCCACAGTTCTACACGTGCAATTTATTATCGAGTTGCTTTGCAGTGGCATGCCATAAAGTACTCTCAGTCAAAACAGAAAATTTAGATTAAGMACTGAAAAATAATGGATTATTTAGATGTTTTCATGATAGAATCAATATTCCTAAATTACAAGTAGGACATGCAGTCTTTTACTCAACGCACCACCCAAAGTTTCAGTTGTAGATATCATCCATTCCGTTAGTGCAAAATCATGTACAAAAACCCAAACTGAATCAATTTGAATTCTGAATTCTTGCTTCAGGCTTTTAAAGCTGACTGGTTTAAGCAAAGAAATTATATACGGCAGTGAAAGGATTCAGGTAAGTTGGACCTTACGAGCGGTTTTTATAGACTGTGCCGCTAACAGTGACCGTACGTAACATAGCCGTAATGCCTATAGAGCAGTTTACGCAAAGAGTATAAAACGTGCCGAACAGTATCGTAACCGTGCGTAACAGAGCCGTAATGCCTATAGAGCAGTTTACGTAAAGTAAGTATAAAACGTACCGCACTGTAACTGTACGTAATACTGCCAGTGATTCCCATAGAGCAGATTCCGTAAAGATTCCATAACGTACCGCACCGTATCGTTACTGTACGTTAAAGTGCCGTAATGGCTATAAGGCAGTGAAGCTTGACGCCCGTATAGTCACTGTACGTAACAAAACCTTAATGCCTCCGTGCGTGAGTAAAGCACAACGTAACATAACCTTAAGGTTCCGTAATGGCTGTGTAATAGATTTTGTATGAGTGGAGAGCTGCGGAGGACCTGTGCCACGACTTCCCTGACTGTACCGTAATGACAACMTTAGGATGCATATACCGTGCAACGCAAAGATCATAGCCATGTCCGGGTCTTGTGTGTTAATATATCTTGATTTTGTGGTAGGTTGTGCGGTACGTCGAAAATGGCCACTACCACGCACACTACGACTCTGAGACTCATACCAGGAGAGATGTACCTTGCTGTCATCAAGTTCATGATCCCAAGAAGATGTTCACCTTTGAAAATCCCTGTCGGCTGTGCAGGTGAGACGAGTCACGTAGATATATTGAAAAGGACGGTTTGATAGACAGACAGAATGATAGATAGAGAGTCAGGCTGATGGACAGACAGGCAGGCTGATAGACAGACAAATTGTCATAGAGGCAGTCTAATAGACAGACAAATTGTCAGAGAGGCAGTCTAATAGACAGACAAATTAGCAGAGAGGCTGTCTGATAGACAGACAAATTGGCAGAGAGGCAGTCTAATAGACAGACAAATTGTCAGAGAGGCAGTCTAATAGACAGACAAATTAGCAGAGAGGCTGTCTGATAGACAGACAAATTGGCAGAGAGGCAGTCTAATAGACAGACAAATTGTCAGAGAGGCAGTCTAATAGACAGACAAATT